TGTCAGAAGCCATGTTGCAATGTTATTGGAGACTAGCTGCAGATTGAAAACAACCAGTTGATAATATATATATATACACCTAGAATCCGTTTGACAACTTTTTTGACAGGAAAAGGCCATATTTGGGGTAGTTGACCCTCCAAAACAGGGGTCACTCAGGTTCCAGGTATATGATGCACCCAAAAGCCAACCCGACGAAAGACGGAACTGCGCGCCCAACGCCGCACGTGGCCCAAACTGGGGATCCGTCGGAGACCGTGCGGCGCAGAGTCAGATGGAGGGGGGCGAGACGGGGGGCGACGGGGCTGGGGATGGAAGATGGAGGTGCGTGGGTGGTCGGGGCTGGGAGGGAAGATGGAGGGGAGCGAGACGGGCGGCGCGTGAAGATGGAGGGGAGCGAGGCGGGAGGCGCATGGGGACGGGATGGAGGGGAGTGAGACGGCGTGGCTTGGGTGTGGACGGGGCTGGGGAGTGCATGGGTGTGGACGCTTGCGGGGCTGATATGCTAGTTACGAGGACACGGCTGCAAAACAAGCATCATTGCAGGCTGCTCCGGGTCAGTGCACAAGTAGAACGAAGCATGGGTGGGGGTAGTGCTGCTCTTGGGTGTCCAAAAAGTGCGCAATGCACGCGACAGACGGTCAAGTCGTGGCTGAAACGGCAGGATTGTTGCGTCGAGCGCATGGTTGCACCACCAGCATCATTGCAGGCTGCTCCGGGTCAGTGCACAAGTAGAACGAAGCATGGGTGGGGGTAGTGCTGCTCCATGCTTCGCGGAAGCCCGTTGGAGGTGAGTGGAGCTGTGTTGCACCAGAACCGCGATGCTTGAAATATCATAGTTGGAGGGGGCTGATGCTTCGTATTGGCCTGCTAATTTGTGTTTGTTTATTTTCCCTGGGTTGTGCGCTTCTTTTTGCTTTTGGGTCCGCGGGCTCACCTTGTTTCAGGTCAAGGTGGCAGTGTGAACTGTGCGAAGATGACCAATGCTCCTTTGGGACTGGTCCGTGGCCAGATGCTCAGTTCCGGTCGACGAGGTCGGCCGTCAGAATCTTCAGAATCGACGAGGTCGTGGGTGGAGTCATGTCAGGTGTCGTATTACACAAAATGAGAGATGTCCCTGTGTCAACCTGCGCTGTTTTATTGGGGGCCAAGAACATGGAGAGCTGGTTTCCGGACCAGAGGTGAAACTTCCCTGCAAGGTGATTGGACATGTTCCATGAAGGTTCCAAATCTCCTTGCCACCCAATTAATCTTGTTTGAGTGTGAACCCGCTCGCGGGAGGTTGGATGCTCATCGGGCGGTCGATTGGATCGTCGGTCTGTCGGTCCGTTGGTCCTCACATTTGGAGTCGTCGGGCCCTCGTCGGGTTCGTTGGGGTCGCTTCGGCCCAGATCGAGCATGGCCATCACCTTCGAAGGGACCGGCAATTTGGAAGGTCAAAGGACACCTCATTCTGTAGGCGCACAGGATTGATATGGATTGATTGCTTTGGCCAGCCGTTGGAGGACGATCTGCGCGACATGCCGAAAACATTCCAAAACACTGACCGCAGGATCTTTCCTGCTTCAAAAACTTAAACAGTTCACCGTGGACAACAATTTGAATCATACCTCATTCTTCTGATTCTGTGAAGATTCTTCGGACAAATCCGGAAGGCCGGAAGGTGCCTGTTGCACCCCAGTTCCGGCAACCTTCATCACAATTTGGGTCATCCATCAATCCATGAGTCCTCTAGCAGCTAGCACACCCCCTCCGCCTTCAAGCCGGACAACTCAAGGTGATGGACGGAGGGTTTCAAGCATGTACAAGTATGTAATAGTTTCGTCTCTGCGTTTTTGGAGACATCCCTTGGTCAATCTGGTTGATCCATTTGGGTTTGTAATCAAGCAAGACATTTTGGCCCCAGTGGCCCCAGGTGAGGACTTCTGCCTCAATCGGCCAAACAGGCGCGGCGCGCGGGCGTTGAACTCTGTGGGTTGGATGTCCGGCCCAGTGGCTCTTGCGCTTGGCCTTTGTTCTAAGCCTTTGAGAAATACCGGTTCAAGGATCCTTTTCTGGACGTGCAGGTTTGCAAGGAAATCCAGGTGCTACTTCATCTTCCAAGGCACGAAAAGTCATCAAACTTTTTGACTACGTACAAACATGTACAAACACACAAAATCAGCAGATTGTAGCACTATGATGGAAAGTATGAGGTGATTAGCGTAAACTATTGATGATGATCCATGATGGATATCACCAAGCCCAGTGGTGGATCCTCACAATTTCAACTTCAGCAGCGGGTCAGCGGCTTTCAGCAGAGTTCAGCGGTACGCTTCCGGAGATGAAGGGAGCCTTTTGACCAAAAGATAGTCATCCTTCCAGTTTTTTGCATGTTCCTAGTGTTTCTCCATGGTGAACAATCGCACGCAGCAATACCGTTCGATCAACCTTTGCCATTGCCGGACCCTCTAGGCACGTGCCAATATACTTCTTTGCCTCACACATGAGCACTCTGTTTAATGTTCCTTCAACTGCCAGCAGTCTGTTGCTCTTTTGCTCCAACACAAAAAAGCAAAGACAAAGAGACCAAAAGAGAGCAATCATGGCATTCAGAATGTCAGGAGTCAGGAGTTTGTCTTTGTTTCTTCGCGGTGAGGGCAGATTTCTTCGCGGTTTGAGCGCGTAAGTCTCTCGATTTCACACCCGGACCTAGGACCTGACGGTTCCGCCCGGTTTCGTCCCTTGCCGTGCTTTAGCTTGCCAGATGACACCAGAGGCATGTGTGAGCTAGCCGCTAGCCCTGCTGTTCGCACCGCTTTGAGCCCAGGCCCAAGGTTCGAAGCCCCTGGAAAAACAAGTGTGAAAAAGGCTGCAATAGCTATAGACACAAATCTTCGTGGAAAGTGCAGCTGGTGATGCTGGCCCAAGGTCGAGGATAGCGGATAGCTACATTTTGTGGCCGCAGAGTCAACAAGAAGTGAGAGAAGGCCAGCATTCGTTGGTATATTTTTGCTAGGAAAGGAGAGCTTTGTTATTTTTCCGTTTGATTTGCTCGCAACTGCTCTCAGATTTGCCGACTCAAGACTAGATCTGCGGAACTCTGCAACGATCTCACAGATGACCAGTGTGTTCCAAGTGCTATGGCTCTCTTTGCTTGGTGCGGTGCATTGCCAATTCATCAATCATTTGTGGCGCATTGGCTGGTCCTCGGATCTTGAGAAGGTGGTGGCGATTCGCTCGACAGACATTCTCACTAGCTCCGACGGGGGTTTGTCTTGGACTGACGTCACACCTGCTTCCGGCTCCTCTCCGGTTGGTGCAGATGATGTGGCCATGTCATCGGACGGGTCAAAGGCGGTTGCTGTGGTTTGGAATGGCCACATTTGGAGCAGCTCGGATGGTGGGACGTCCTGGACGGAGGACGTCTCTTTGGGTGTCCAAGAATGGCGAGGCGTGGCGATGTCTTCCAGTGGTTCGGAGATGGCTGCGGTGGGCGACAACACAGGGATTTGGCTCACTTCGAATGGTGGCACCACCTGGTCTCAGGCCCAGACAGCTGCTTCCACAGGAATGCTAACAAGTGTAGCAATATCTTCAGATGGTTCAAAGATTGCTGCTGTGGGCGATGGTGGCTTGGCAGGTTTGATTTTTCAACCTGTTTTGGGCATCAATAGCTGTGAAAGTATCCCCTGTGTTTGCAGAGGCAAACATGCCTTCCAGAAAAGATGGCATTTTCAGGAAGATCAACCCAGCAAATAGAATCATCTCCTTCATGACTCTGGACGATGAAAGACGATCAAAGACGAGTTTCTTTTTGTTGAAACATGTTGAGACTACCAACCAGGTGGGGTTTGGACGAGTGTGGATAGTGGCGCATCTTGGACGGAGCAGACCACACTTGGAGCTGGGCTGAGTTGGACATCTGTTGCCATGTCTTCTGATGGATCAAAGATCGCTGCCGTGGCAAATGCTATCTGGGTGAGCTCAGATGGTGGCACTTCTTGGGTAGAGGACACAAGCGTTGGCTCGACCAAGAATTGGAAGGCTGTGGCCATGTCTTCCGATGGATCCAAAATGGCTGCCATTGTCGGTGGGAGTGCGGGTAGTCCATGGACAAGCTCCGATGGTGGAATCACTTGGCAGGAGGTCCCCTACTCACAATCTTGGCAAGATGTAGGTGTTTCTTCCGATGGGTCCAAGTGGAAGGCTGGTCATACTAAGGATAACAGCCTTCTCCCAGGCACCTTTGCTACCACCACCACCACGGCTGCCACCACCAGTGGAGCTGTTGGAAGTTCTGTCGGGGCGGAGACGGGCTTGGATTCCGTCACCCTTGCCATCATCATCTCCACAGCAGCAGTTGTTGCGTGCTTGTGCTGCGTGGGCATTGTCGTGCTGCGCCGCCGCTCGCAAGCTGGAGATGACGTTCAACAAGCTGTCGTGTGAGCAGCTGTTTGATTGAAAGAAATGCTCTTGAGTTGGGCAAGCCCTTTTGTGTCCAGTGGTCCAGTGGCCCCCAATCAGTGACCACCGCGTTTGGCGGTTGGATATGCTGTTCTGTTCCACATCCTTTGGGATCGAGGTTACCATTTTGTTGGGATTGGGGACCGCTGTGTGTATCCTCTGGAGCCCTAGGGTTGGGGCCGCTGAAATTTTGACATTTGAAGGTCGAGTCTATAATAGCTTGACATGTTTTTTGAAGAATTTTGATGCATTAAATGTCAGCCCGACACGTTGTGAAGCTTCAATTCTTCGACAGCCAATGTTGCTGCCACTCGCAATAAGTGCAGCTAGCCAAAAACTCAATTTATACAGATGTTGCCATCGAGCGCCGTTGCATGATTCGGACTACTTGACCGTTGGAGTGCATTGCGCTGAACCCACAGTTTGCTCAATGCACCCACGGATGTTTAAGTCAAGGTAACTGGGCTGATGGATTTGAATTGTAGATGATACACGCGCCTTTGGGTAGGCTTTCTCTCAATGTCCACCCTTGGTCAGGAAGATGAGAGGGTCCTTTTTCATTGTGTCTTGGGTGTGTTTGGTCTGCATGTTGATGGATACCGTGAGAAACATGCAACTCCAGTGTCCGAAGTGGTCATGGGCCTCTCGTTCGACAGCTGGTTCTCGGAGGAGGAAGACTCCTGTGCATCCTATGCTGAACCTCTGAATGTTCACACAACTTGTGCTGGTGCCTTTTCATTTCTACACTTTTTGTCTCAACTTAACTTTGCTTTCTGCCAGGAGAAGAATGCTGATTCAGATTGAGACAGCCTGCAGGTTCTTGCCTGCAGCTCAAGCGTAGTTGAAACGCGCCTCGATATTGTCTGCGACAAGAGGATCATCGTTTATTGCACGTTCAGAAGGACTTTGTTGGCCTGTCCCACATGAATTGTTTGAAACTCTTGGCTTTCCGCTTTTTACACAGCGCACCCAGGATTAAGACACAAGATGAGCAGCAAGTTAAAAGCAGACGTTACACACATAAACCACTAATTTCTTGCTTTTACGGTGCAAACGTCTAGTAATTCACAACAACACTTTTCCCGGTAGAAACTTTTGACTGGTAGACATCTCCTCATAGACAAAGATATATATATATATATAGATCATGTTCGCAGTGCTTTTTCTTTCTTGCTTGACGAGACAATGCCAAAGCTTGGTCCGAAAACACTTGTAGGTGTCGTTTGGCGTTGAAGCCGAGCTGAAGCTGAAGTTTCTAATTATTCTTTTTGCGGGCTAAGTATGGTTGCAAGGCACTGCAAGGGTTGTAAAATGTAAAGAGAAATCGTTCTTGAGTAAACATTACCTACAGGCTGCTTAGAGGTAGGGAAGGCCAAGACCCAAAGCCTTTTGGTGGTGCTTTGAGGACTTTAGATGGAACATGTGTAAACCTGCAAACCCATTTCACTCCAGCTCTTCATCCCGAACCTTGCTCGCTGAATCCAAATCATACTTGTTTCGATTTATTGCTTAGTTATTACCAGTCCTGGCTACTAAAAGGCCTTGGCCCAGCAGGCAACAGTTCCCCAAACAGTGGTTGCACTAGAGGTTCTTACGGTAGCAGTGAAGGAGAGTTAAGGCTGGGTTTGATCGGGATAATTCGCTGCTATGCCTCTCAATGTTCGAAGTGCATTTGGACTGTGCCCTCGACTGCGCTCTCGTTGTGGCGCTGTGCGCATTTTTGGACATGTTTTTAATTTTCGCTGCAGGCGCAAGGGAATCCTGGTGCTTTGGTGGTTGGAAGTCGACTTTTCGCGGCAGGTGCAGGACTGACGTTGTACTTCAACTTGCAGATATCGTGTGCTTCGGGTGTTTAGCGTGCTCTGACTTCGTGGCAGGTGCGGTGAGTCGTGAACTTTAGACAGGTAGCTTGTTTTCAGAGCTTGGGGGATGTATCGCACGAAAGCTGCGCTTTGACATCTCGAGCTTGTCCTTGGAAGTGCTCTTGTTGCGAAACGCAGTGACAGCCTGGTGGATGTGAATTTACAGCGACCTGTGAAGCACCAAATCCGGCGGCAGGCGCAGCACTTTGTAAACGAGTGTGAGCAGACTTCGTGGCAGGTGCGCCGCCGCTTCTGTGAACTTTGTGAACGCAGAAATGCAGATGTCGTGGCAGTCGCAGCGCTTCGAAGCGCAGATTTTGTGGCAAGCGCGGCGCTCTGCCACTCTGCGAACGTCTCATATGTGTGCTCTCATGTGTGCGTTCATATGAGAGCCTCTCCTGTGTTTGCTCACACGTGTGTGCTATCACATCAAAACGTGCGCTCCCAAGAGTGTGCTCTCATATGTGTGTTCTGAAATGTCCGCTTTCATTTGTGTGCTCTCAGGTCGTATGTGTGCTCTCATACCTGTGCTCTTAAGATCTCTTAAGTGCTTGCTCGCTCTCGAACGTTTGCGAACACCGGTGCCACACGCTGTCTGATGTAACTTTTGACATTGTATTTGATGAAGATAATGGAGAGGACCACAGAGCTAGAGCGTGCGAACCCGGTGTCTGATATAACGTCCAAATTGTATCTGATGGAGATAATGACAGAAGAGAAACGCTGTCTAATATAAGTTCTGTTGTATTATGTTATTGTATCAATCTATTGGAGAATATGAGAGAAGAACACCATAAAGCTAAAACGTGCGAACTCCCCGGCCCTCGCCGGGCCTCTAGAGCCCATTGGGCCTCTGACGCCGTGGGGCCTGACGTGGAGCCCATTGGGCCCGTGGAGGGGGGGGCGTGAAGCCCGGGGACGTCAAACGACCATTCCTCTGTCATCCTGCGTTCTCATATATGTCATGTGTGCTCTCACGTGTTTTTGCGCATATATGCGCTCATGTATGTGCTCCAAGGTGCGGAGTTTTTTCTACTTGCACTGTTTGGGTCTGCCGGGACAGGTCTTATTGGGACCAATTTGGCAGGTGATGGGCCCACCCTCAAACAAGATCGGCGTGGATGCTTGGGTCGGTTGCGCGCAACAGATGCGGACTCCACAATTGCACTTGAACCGTTGACTGTACAGTTGAGAGACTGACCGTCGGTAAACCATGATGTTTGGTGTTCACTGTCAATAAAGTTGACTACAGATCTGGATGCTTGCTGTTTGAGCTTTGAGCATGGAGGGAGCGATCACATTCAATAGGCACCTTCAAGAAACTTGGTGACCAAGTGAGTTTGATCCTCGCCCGCGAAAGGCAGCCAGATGCACATTTCCGGTCTCGTCTCAAGCACTCTTGGAGAGGGACGCACACACAGTGACCTCGTGTGAACCTTTGTGACCCTCGCTTGCTGTGATGGTTGACTATAGCAAGTTCGACCACATTGGATCGTCAGATGAATCAGATGCAGCTCATCCTGTTTCGATTCAACAAACGTGCGATGCGATGTTTGATTCCATCCGACGAGTTGGCCCGGGTCAGCCGAAAGGCTTCTACTACCCACTTCAGGGTGGAGACATGGTGCCGTTCGATGTGAGAGATGAGATATGCCAAGATTTTGGGTACCAACATGGCGATGTTGTCGTCACGGACCACGGACATATTTCCACAGTCATTGGTGTCTTTGATGAACAGCTCTGGTTTCACGCAGAGGGAAACGACGGAGCAGATCTTTGGACGAACGAGGTGCTGAAGAAGGTTGGCCGCACAGCCGTGGAGGAACGTGCTAAAGGACCTCCAAGTTTGAACCTCAGTTGAAAGCATAGGATTTTACAAGGCGTTTGTGTTCGATCAATTCTGAGGTCGCCTTTCAGCGCCAGTATAGTGGTTGAATGCAAATTGAAAGGTTAGTTCGATGTTCCAGACAAATTTCTTAAAACGATGCGCCAGCCAGGGTTCACAAGGCCTGCCAATCCGAGAAGGAAAGCCTTGGTCATCGTAGGTCACGCTTTCAACCGAAAATGACATGAACACACCAATTGGGAGCACTTACTTCTTAAGACCTTGCATACCAGACAAAGGACTGACATTTGCGTATGGCCTTCATGGCGGCGCAAAGTGACTTTGAGATAGCCAGATTTTGCAGAGCTCTCATCTAGTTAGTCGTTCTTGGTTGCTTGTGAGACTGGAATGCTGGATTCTGTGATGAGTTCAGCCGTTGCATCCCAGGAAGTCAGATTGGTTGAGGCTGGATTTTGCGTATGCTGCAGGCCAGGGCCAGGGTGGGAAACGTGTGTTCGTCCCAAAGTGGTGGTTCGTCCCATCTTGGAGGCCTCCGAGACACTGGCCATGTTCTCAGGTCTGGAGAACCCGACGCTGGCCTACTTCGACACCAGGAAGCACCTCTGCGAGACGGTTGGGGGCTTCAAGCACGGAGATGTGATCCGGGTCGGTGCCATTTCTGCAGTGACCATCGGAGTGAAGCGCGATGGACATCGACTGTTCCTCTGGTTTCATCCACCGCATTCTCCAGGAGACTTCTTGATACATGGAGGTTGAGGCTTAGTCAGTCTGCAGGGCTTGGGCAAAAAGGCTGAATCGATCGAAGAGGATTTGAGTAGTAGTTGGCCTCCTGTTTAAGGATCACTCTCCGCTGTGGTTGTCTTCCCCTTATTCAATACCTTCTTGGCGCCATGAATAGATTTGTTTCTTCTAAGACTTTAGCTTTATGTTTCCAAAACTCTATATGGTCAATGGTAGAGCTAGCCAGTTTGTCCAAGTGTTCAACTAGCGCCGTTGAACCTTTGGGCCCGTTGATCCGCGCGTGCCTGATTGCGTTTGACCCCTGGTTCTGAAATTTTGTAGGCGCTTGGAGCTTCATGTAATGTTCCGGGTGGCACCACTGTGCCAGTTGGAAAGAGGTGGGGCTTAGAACTCCAGTTCTTAGACACCATTTTTGCGAGCTTCTTTGGGGCACCTGTGGAACTTTCTGTTCCAGGACCCTGTTTCACAACCTTCTGTGCTTTTTTGGTTCCTGCGACTTCAGCTGGGACCTTTATTTCACATCACTCACCTAC